GAGATGACCATATAATATGACTTTTTAAGCTCATGTTCACCTGGTGATCATCATCATAATGACGACAATATTACCCCAGCTATAATTTAAACATTTTTGTTACTAAGGGCCAAGTTTTCAATCGTAAATTAATTATTAGCTATATATTAAAATTGATATTTAACTGTTAATAATATGGAAGAATTGTCAAATATTTAAAGTTATTCTTCTGATAAAAAACTGGACATTGAAAAATCGGACAGTAATGTTATGAATAACCTCAAAGACGATTAAAACAATTTTAGTTTTTCTCCTCCAAATAGCAATTAGTAGACCCGAGAGTACGGCGCGTCGCGTTCCGCACACGCCTCAAAGAGTCATCAGACCACCACAGATGGGACCCAATAGGGCTGTTGCCGATTCGGAGTCGCGGAGAACCTAACGGGTAACCGGGGCTCCGGCTCGACGTGCAGGAGAAGGAACGGGGTGGTTTTTAGTCAGTAAGAGTCTGACACTCCCTTCCGCCTCCCCAGGCGGGAGCAGTAATTCGATGATTTTCCCCCCTTAAAAAAATAAAAATAAATAGCTATTAATTAGTTGAATTTTATTCCACTGTCCTACGAAAATAAGACCAAAAAAGAAAGAAACAAAGTCGCGATTCTCTAGAGAATCGCAATCACAAAATAAAAGAAAAGGTTCGACTATCATTTGCGAAGTAAACTCTCTTTATTTACAGTTGCAACGATATAATTTTTAATTAGAATTGTAATTGAAAGTAGTTGACTCAGTTGCTTCTGTTTAAATTTATTTCTTTTTAAAAAGAACTCTGCTAAGTGTAAATGTAACCTAGTTTCGTGAGAATTAATTGTGTGTATTTCCGTTTTAAAAATTAAAATATTTTATAATGTCCATTATAGTATTCTTTTGGTCCTAGTTCCATGTAATAATGGCACAAATTTAACAAAAGATCGATGCATAAAAAAACATTCCAATAGCATTCCGTCCTACAGGAATTTTAACTGCAGAAGTACAGGACTTCTTCTTGACGGTCATACTTGGGATCACACGACTTATCTATTAAGCAATATCTATGAGTATAAACATAACATCGCCTTTTATCTCCGAAGGGGTAGACAGAGCTGCACATTACGGCACTAAATACCAGTGTACAATGTATAACACCCACTTTTCACTATTTATGCTATGAGTCCCATGTAATAGGGAGAGACCCTATTGCCATATACCGGGCACAATTCCAGACTCCGTGCTACTACTGATTTTTTTAAGCTAGTAATACATTACCCGACCCGATAAATCGATCCCGAAACCCCTTACCCGGCAACCGCACTTACAACCACTCGGCCAACGAGGGAATCAATATGAGTATAAAGTGCATTTAATTTTAATATTCACCATCCATAGACCAAATGCACCCGACATTCCCCAAGCGAAACCGTGACGAAAACCAAACTCATGACAATCGTTCCAAGAACAGCCAGCCTAAGGAAACTTTCTCACAATTGTAAAGTACAAATGTTGGCATAATGGATTAATGAATGTGCCTCAAAGTCGACGAATGGGCCTCAGTTTATAATATATCGTTTCGAAAGGCACCTGTGTCGAAAAGTTGTTCGGATCGTTGAAGAATTTGTGTAAACTTTCTTGTTTGATTTTGAAAGTAAACGGCAAGTTTGACTTGACATTGATTTTTTGAATTTTGTAGTACCTTAACGTCAAAATAAAATATCCCTATACATTTTGATTTCTACTCTCTCTATTACAAGCGCTAAAGTGGCGTTTGGCTAAAGGTACTAGAAACAAAAATCATGACTTTTGCTTATGGAGTCGGAACATGTGAATGGTTCTTATTTCATGGAGATATAATGAAACTAGAATGTGCCACCTACTACCATTAGGTACATAGTTTTTAAGCTTCCCTCAGCAACACATTCATGGATCTGACAATACAAGTTACCATTAGCATCTTCATAGATGTCCACTGCTAAACATTGCTTCAATGCCTTACAGATCAGCTGGTTGGATGCAAAATGGTGCCGATCATCTCCACGGCCATAAAATAATAACATCTTAACATCACGCGTTTTATCCCCGAAGGGGTAGGCAGAGGTGCACATTACCTCTATACCACTGTACAATGTCATAAAATAATGTCAAATTAATATTATGTTTTCGGTTTACTCACGTAACTGTTTGTCAAGGACCTTGACTAGTGAATCACGGTAGAGAGCGCGTTGGGCGCTCGCACCGCCGCGGAATCGAGCAGCCAGTTACAGCACGACAGTCACTGCTCATGAATATGAGCCTCTACCAGGTCTTGAAATTAGTCGAACTCCTCGTCAAACAGTTACGCGAGTAAGCCGAAAACGTAATAATTAACTTAGTATGTCACAGGAAAGTTAATATATAAAATGCCAGTAGCATCACGGCAGTCGTCGCGTCGTGGGTCGCAGAATGATGCTCATGAATACGAGTATCTAATTTACCTTAAAACTAGTCGAGATCCTCGTCAAACAGTTACGTGGGGAAGCGGAAAACATAACAATTAATAAAAAAAAATGTTCATAATAAAAAAAAGAGTTGCACAACTACACACATCACAAATGCCAGATCTGTCAGTAACAAGTTATGTTCTAACAAAAATTGGATCAAAAAAAACTAAAACAAAATAAAAATTTACGCGCAAAATACTATTTTGAAACCAGTCGTTAGTTGACGCATTCAATGTTTCAAACACGTTTGTTTATTTGTAGCTAGATACAGTATGTACTGAATTTATTTACTAAAGCTTTGCTATCACATAAACAGAAAAATGTAGTTTTTTATTGCCTGAATAGGTAGGCTATAAAGTACAGTTTCGTTCGATATTGCAGCATAGACTAAACCTTTTTCGATGAGTTTTCCAAAGCCACCAAATTCTGGAACCAAATGAGTTAGGTTCAAATAAATTTAGATTATTTTTAAAAGAAACTTTTGCTTCGCTTTGCATGAATGAATGGTCATGGAAACTAAACGCGTATAGAAAATTTCAGCTCAATCGGTTGAATTCGTAATTATTATCGATTGAAGATATCTACTTCAAAATTCAGTTGTAAAATTCCACTTCATACTCATACATATTCATAAACAATTAAACATATGTACATACATATCAAACATAATAAGAATCGATTTTAAATCGACACACCTCGTTATCGAGTTAGTTAGCATCGATTGTGACGTAGCGAGCGTGAACACCTAACCGTCCATCACGGATCACTGGGCCTCGATGCGCAATATTTTGAACTGGACCCACAATAAGCGGTGATTGGATTATTGTCATAGTAATACTATAGATTAAATATACACATATATAGATAAATATTATAAATAATATTCTTGTACACACGGCTACACATCGAGCTTTACATAACCAGTATAAACTGAACGTTAAATGTGCGGAAAGATGATACGACGCCAGGATAAACTGGTTTTGTATAGATTGATGTGTGGCCGTGTGTACTGTTTAGTCTGAAAAAAAAACAAAAAAATTGTACATCCACTTTTCGCTAATTCAATTATCATCATTACAGATCAATTTGAATTGAACTATGTATTGACACGTGAGTGTGCAAAAAGGGATAACATTATTCGAATAACACTAAAAGAATTCTTTAATTTAAGTGAAAACAATGACAAAAATATAATTACGATACCCAAGGGAATTGGTTGAAAGCTTGAAACTGACACAAAAACACTTCAAAGTCAATATCAACAAAGAACGTTGCAGGGCACAGAATCCATTTAGTCATCCCCGCATGGCAATACGTAGACACGGAATACTTGGACAAAGTCCCACCTAGCGTACATAGTGTAGGCCGAAAAAGCGCATGTGGCCGTACCAACATTTTTTCGACTTTTATTTGAACGGCCGACGGCTGAGCTAAATTATTACTGCAATGTTTTTCGAAATAAAACTGCTCCATAGCTTCGCATAAAGCCGAGTATGGTTTTAAAAATTCAATTTTCCTTCGAATATTTTCTAGGCTTTTGGATTTTAGTAATCAATTTGCACGTTCAAAATGTTTGTTATACAATCTAGTTTTTGCTGAATAGACCCTTGATATAAATCGGCTAATGAGAGTTGTTGACGCCTAACCCTACGTCGAGAGCGGGGGGTCTGCCCGCCTCCCCCCCTCCTCGTCACGGAGTGTATATATGGGAGTGCGCCGGATCATCGATCATCGATCGACGACTAGTTTTGTATTCATTCCGCTCATAAGGACAATTAATATTGTAAAAAGTTTAAAAGTAATAAATCAGTTAGTATATTGGCATCCAGGGCTTATTTTCAGCTCCGCACACAATACCTGACACACCACAGTATAAGCAGTATAACCTAGCCCTAGACAAGAGTTTAAAAATGTTTAAAAAAAGACATACACTTTCTTCGATTGCCATAAGAGCCGATTGAATGACCATACATTTTGCCAGAAACTAGACAGCAGCACTTTCTGATAAATGTCGACCTTCTTACATATTCCTATGACGATCATGGAAAACCCTTGTAAGTAAAGGTAAAGTATATATGTCACACAAATAGTAGTTATCACATCCTCCTATCGCTTACATAGTTAGGCATGGTATAGTCATAGTACGTTATTTTTAATGACATCGGCGATTAATAGAGTAGTATAGTATACATAGAAATTTTATTTTAATGTCCGTCTGTTACATTATTTTAAAACACGTATTTTTAGGCAAGTATTTTTTCTTTTGTTACAAAATTAAATACTTTCGACGATATATTGATTTGTAATACCGTGTGACGTGTACTACATATATTTTATAGGGAAGCGTGACGTAACCACATCTCATAGCTAAACTTAACTCCGTTTTAATCTAAGTATTGTTCTCATAAAAGAGAAAATAAAAAATACGTGTCTAATATTTTTTTCATTATCTAACTGATAAACTAATTACATTTTTAATTTTCATACTTTGTCTACTACCCTATTGTTATAGGCTGTTGATGTATGTTGACATCAATAGCCTCAACGTCACCACTGATAACGTTAACAATTGATACACTTATACGATACACAATACACATTTCATTGCACTTAACCCGATGACAAATAAGTGTTGTAATTAATTGAATGATTTTACTGATAAATGATAAGATAAGGTATTTGCTTGTTTTTATGCGATTCCTTTGCGGTTTCGACACTCAAGGATGAAGTGTTGCGTTTAACTTGAACCAAGACTTTGAAGTCAGATATTATTGTCCCCTCCCCCATCCTCGCGCGCATCCCGTGTAAGGCTCTTTACACATTGTGCTACCGCGACGCTCGCGCCGCTACGAGCGACTTTCAAACTATTTAAAACAGTTCATCCACAGACACCGGTCACTTCACTTGTGTTCTGCATGCATACTTCGTTTTGCATGTATCATAAAAACAACAATGGGTAAGTACCTATAATTACTCCATAGCATTATGAACCCTATTAACAATGAATTTGCCTTTAACA